AGAACTTCCAGGTTGTTCTCTGCAGAGCTGCTCTCCAGCAGGTCGACCCCCAGCCTGTACTGGTGCGTGTGGTTATTCCTCCCCAAGTGCAGCACCCTACATTTGCCCTTGTTGAACCTCATTAGGTTCCCTCTGCCCAGCTCTCCAGTCTGTCCAGCTCTCGCTAAATGGCAGCACAACCTTCTGGTGTGTCAGCCACTCCTCCCAGTTTTGTGTCATTAAACTTGCTGAGGGTGCACTCCGTCCCTTTTTTCAGGTCACTGATGAATGTGTCGAACAAGACCGGACCCAGTACTGACCCATGGGGAATATACTAGCTACAGGCCTCCAACTGGACTTTTCACTGCTGATCACAACCCTCTGAGTTCTGCCATTCAGACAGTTCTCCATCCACTGCACTGTCCATCTAACCCATGCTTCTTAAGCTTATCTAGGAGGATGTTTTGGAAGACAGCATCAAAAGCCTTGCTGAAGTCAAGGTAGTCAATATCCACTGCTCTCCCCTCATCTACCCAGCCAGCTTGTCATGCCATCACAGAAGGCTATCAGATTGGTCAGGCATGATTTCCCCTTGGTGAATCCGTGCCAACTACTCCTGATAACCTTCTTTTCCTCCACATGCTTAGAGATGACATCCAGAATGAGCTGTTCCACCACCTTTCCAGGGATGGAGGTACGGCTGACTGGCCTGTAGTTTCCTGGGTCCTCCTTCTTGCCCTTTTTGAAGGCCGGAGTGACACTGGCTTTCCTCCAGTCCTCAGGCGCCTCTCCTGTTTGCCAGGACCTTTCAAAGATGATGGAGAGTGGTTTAGCAATAACATCTGCCAGCTCCCTCAGCACTCGTGGGTGCATCCCATTAGCACCCATGGATTTGTGGGTGTGCAGTTTGCCTAAATGATCTCTCACTCAATCCTCCTCAACCAAGGGAAATTCTTCCTCTCTCCAGACTTTCTCTCTTACCCCCAAGGTCTGGGACTCCTGAGGGCTGGCCTTAGCAGCAAGATCAAGGCAAAGAAAGAATTCAGTAACTCTTCCTTCTCTGTATCCTCCATCACCAGGGTACGCGCCTCATTCAGTAGCTGGCCCGCATTTTCCATAGTCTTTCTTTCGCTACTGATGTACTTGAAGCACCCCTTCTTGTTACCCTTGACATCCCTTGCCAGATTTAATTCCAAATGGGCCTCAGCCTTCCTTGTTGCATCCCTGCATACTCTGACATTCCCATAATCCTCCCAAGTGGCCATTTTTCCACATTCTACAAACTCCCTTCTTCCAGTTGATCTTTTCCAGAAGGTCCTTGCTCATCCATGCTGGTCTCCTGCCTCCTTTGCTTGATTTCTTACTCATAGGGATGCACCAATCCCTCCAAGTAGGTCTCTGAAGAGGCCAAAGTTAGCTATCCTAAAGTCCAGGATTGTAATCCTACTTAATGCCCTGCTTCTTCCACACAGGATCCGGAACGCCACCATTTCATGGTCACCACAGCCAAGGCTGCCCCCAACCTTCACATCCCCAACCAGTCCTTCTTTATTTGTTAGCACAAGTTCCAGCAGTACACCTCTCCTTGTTGGCACCTCCACCACCTGTGTAAAAAAAGTTATCATCAATGCTCTGCAGGAACCTCCTGGACTGTGCATGCCTAGCTGTGTTGCCTTTCCAGCAAGTTTCAGGGTGGTTGAAGTACCCCATGAGAACCAGGGCCTGTGAACATGAGGCTACTTTCAGCTGTCTGTAGAAGGCCTCACCAGCTTCCTCTTCCTGACAAGGTGGCCTGTAGTGAACATCCACAACAGTGTCATCTATATTAGCCTGCCCCTTGATTCTCACCCATGAGCTCTCAACTCATTCTTCATCCCTCCCTAGGCAGAGCTCGATACATTTCATAACATATTTCTCACATAAAGAGCAACTCCACCACCTCGCCTTTCTGGCCTGTTTCCTAAAAAGTACGTAGCCATCCATGAGAGCATTCCAGTCATGAGAGTTGTCCCACCATGTCTCTGTGATTGCAACGAGACCGTGGCCCTACAACCATGCACAGATCTCTAGTTTCCCATGCTGCATGCATTGGTGTACAGGCATTTCAGAGGTAACTGAGCATGCAGGCTTCCCTGGAAGAGTGCATAGCCATACATACCGTTGAGGTGGTTTGCCTTCTGGTTCTCATCTTGGGAGATAGCTAAGGAACATTCGTCGCTACTCTGGTTGGCCTGGCTTACTCCCCAGTCAGATGCGATGGCATGAGCAGTGACATTCTGGACCCCACCCCCTGAGTCCTTCAGGTTAAAGCCTGCCTCACCAAGTTGGCCAGCCTGCTGCCAAAGGTTCCCTTGCTTCTTCTAGCCAGGTGGATTCCATCCCTTCCTAGGAGGTTACAGTCATCAAAGAACATCCTGTTGTCATAAACAACATGATCAAACTGAACATAATCTAACAACTGAACATAATCTAATCTTTTATCAAACTGGCCACTCTGCATGGTACAGCACTTCCAAAACACTAGTCCATGGGTTACAGGCACCTCTGAAAATACAAATATCAACAGTACAACAGAACAACAACAGTTCATGAACAATATGAAACAAATTGTAATAATCTACAGTCGGGATACCAACATGAGGGACAGCAACGCCACTTCCTTATTTCTGGATGGATGACATAGTAATATGCTATTTTATCAGGCTACTTTGATCTTTCCACATGGATAACTGCTCCCAAGCCTGGTTGGCTGTACATAGTCCACATCCTTGTGCTATCATGAAAGAAAAGAAATAAAAAAAAAGCTAACAAGCCTTCTCATGAGTGAAGCATGGTAATCCCAAGAAAAAGTCTGATGGCAAAGTGATTCATAAAAGAATAACTTTTCCCTAAGACAAGTAGAACTGAGAGGTGAATGTGACACACCACTTCATCGCACATCCATGCAAGAAGGAGGGAGAAGAAGGATGCTGTCCCAATTCACATCTATGACATGTAGTGGAGGAAGATACATCTTCCTAAAATGGAAAGTGTGTCAAATGACAGTTAGGAACAATTCATTTGTGGTGCAACCTTATTACAAATCATATGACACAGACATCCTCATATTGACATACAAATGGCTCCCAGAAGCTGCTAGAGCCAGTAACATATATTCTCCATTTCTTTGTACAGTTTATGAATCCGTTTCTCTCCACTACTATATTAAATGTCAACGTTGCATTGTGGTAATGTATTAGCTGTCAAGGAAAGGATGCACATCTCACAGTTCATCCAGGTCAAACACTTTACCCAGAAAGTATAACTGCAAATTGCCTACTTGTCCCTAAAAGGTTAACCTCATTTGTAACAGAATATAACTCAAAAAATAAACTCATGAATACAAGTGATGAGATGCAACCTCCAGATGTAGGCGTAGAACAACAAGTTACTTACCTTTTAATAATAGTTCTTTGATCCATTTTAATTTCCATGACTCCTGTTTCTGAAAGGATGTACCTACAACTTGTTCTCTTAGCAGTGTCTCTGAAGATACAACTGCTATATACTCTTCATAGGAGGTGCAAAATTATAGCTGGAATAGGCCCAGCCTTGGAAATCCAAAGAAAGACTTAATTTCCATCAGAGGGAAGGTGAATTTGGGGATCCAGATAGACAAGCATGCAACCAACCCAAGCTACTGTAAACAAACATACATCTTTTCTCCTTTAATCATTTGCCCACGCAGCCTGATAAGAAAGCTGGTTCACAGAGATGCAACTAACAGGAACAAAATCCATGGGTGCTTCTTGAGTTAAGGTAAACAAACCAATGACTGTACATATGCTCTTAACTCCCAAGCAAGTCATCTATAGAATTAAGGACCAGAGTTCTTACTTTCTCTAAATGCATGAAAACACGCTCCAGTGTTAAGGATTCAGAGTGTCAATCCCTTACACAGAAATCAAAAACTAAACACATTTGCAGAACCTATTTGTTACAGAAATATAAAAGTAAACATAATGCAGATGTGCTAAATAATACAGAAATATAAAAGTAGCAGCAAGTGAAAAATTGACAAATGGGAAGCCCTGAAGCTTAGGAATCTAAGAGTGTTAGATGACTAAACAGATTACGCAAAATTCAAATTATTTCAGTAAAAATTTTAGGTCTGGCTAAAAACGGGAGGGAATATTTCTCATGGCTTGAAAACAACTAAGGAGCAAGCAAATCTGCAGCACAGAGGGATCAAGTAACAACAGGAACTTCTTTCACTATTTTGATGCTGAAATAAATGTGTTGCCCTGACTCCACTCCAAACACAGCGTTCTTCTCATCTCAGTCTTCCAAACAAGGAAGATTTTCAAGTCACGAGACCAATCGTAACATTTCTTCTGTCACCGGTGTGTATCAGTTCTAAGATGAAAACTATATATTTTCAAGCTAGTATGTTTGAATAAAATTTACCATAATTACACTAACTGCCACTAAGAATCCTTATCTTTAACTAGAAAAGGCGAATTGTTAGGACTTTTCCTTAGGTCAGATGAAATGCACAAAGTACATAAGCAGTTCCATAATCAAAAGATACTACAGCTAGATATTAAGAAGGAAAGGTTTCTAGGTCTCTTCTTTTTCCTTAGCTTTTTTTTTTTCTTTTAATAGAGAAGAAACTATTCTTGCAGGCAAAATGTTATTAACTGCAATTAAGAGAAATAACCAAGCCTCATAAAACTTGACAACATTATGTTTTACTAATTTCTAGTGAACAAGAATAGTATTTATATTAGAAACCATAGAGAACTTTCACCTATGTTAATCAACAATATCCTATTGTAACAACATTTCCAGTATCATTACACAAATTACATCGAACGTCAATATAATCTTTTCCATTATGTCTCTCCCTGACAATTAATACTTCTCTAGACTTCAACAGTGAATGAGTATGGTGGTGGTATACATACAATATTCCAATTTAAGATGCAAGCAAAGGAATCAACATTTAAAAGACATAACAACACAAAAGGTTTTGAACTTACCTTCTTTTTTTGTGTTCTGTTCCTGCCTCCCAACCAATCATCCATCTGTTCCTCGATCTCTTCAATTGAAGCTCCATGATCATATGATGGTATATATGCACTTAACTCCAGAACTGAGTATACAGGGAATTCTGATTTTGGTTTCTTGACTTTAGGCTTCTTCTCCTCTATACAAAAGTAAAAAAGAAGAAAAAGTAATGCTACTGATACTGCAGAGGACTATAATTCAAAAGCAAGCTTAGCTCCTCAACTCTTAATGCTATGCTAAAATTTCCACTGAGGAAGGAGCTTCAATTTCTTTGCTAAAAAGAGAATTCAGAGTTTTGCATAATAATTTTATTTTTATTAAAAGTAAATAGCAATTCACTCACTTAATGCCTCTTCTATCTGAACTATGCCTTGAAGGCCCAAATGAGGAGCCCCTCAGAATCGTTAGCTCTTGTCACTGCTACACCACCAGGCAATTAAGATTAGTACGGGCAAAAGCATAGGGAGCTGTTAGAAGATTTCAAAAGTCCATCTGGCTTCAAAGAAACTGGCAAAGGCAGAAAGGTGAGGTTTAGACAATTTTGTACTACTTCATGGTCAACCATGCCGAGTAAAAGCTTCTCAGCCAATAGATAGCTTCTCTGTTGTCAGATTTCTGTAACTAAATAGCTCTGTTCTAGCACTTACACATTTATGAAGATTTAAATGTTGGACCTCATTTCTCAAACTGATCACTGTTTTCTGCTCTCTTTGTCCTTTAAGTAGAATTAAATGGGAGCAGCAAACTTAGGGGACAGGAAGGAGGGACAACAACCACCACCACCTAAACCTCAGCATCTGAAAACGTATCAGTTATATAAGATGATCTCAAAAGAAAGATTTAAGATTGATTGAAAACTGCCAGAACTTTAGGAAAGACAAGAGGATGAGGATCAGAAAAGAGGCCTGAACACTCAGAAAGCATCCAGGAACATCAGGTATGCCAAGTGGGACTCTCCTGGTTTTTCCTCGTTGTTTTAACAATATGCTGTATTCACAGTAACTGGATCCTCCTAACGATGCTACTAAACCCAAAGAGCTGATCTAACAGCTGGCTGCAGCCAAAGGAGGAAACTTCTGCTCTGCACTTTCCACTGTGTGCTTATGTGCTCATCTCTCTTCTATTCGCGCTTCAACAGTCATCCAGGCACTCAGCAAACTAATTCCAGTCACTAAACTAGTAGAAAATTACTCCTTTACACTCAAAAGAAAAGAAAAAAAACAAGTCATTTAAAGGCAGTGGACACAGAAAAGGAGAACCACACTTCTCAGCAGCAGTGGGCCATTAGATCAGCTTATCTGCCTTTGCAACCATGGCAGAATACTTTTCTGAGCAGCACAGGAAAAAATGTCTGTTTTTCATTAAAACCTTCTTTAAAAAAATTCCTTAAGAGAACAGAAGGACTGTTCCCTACAGACTCTGATGCAGGATTCCTCTTCCTAACAGTATATATGCAGGAACAGCATAGTGAAAAGACTCCTCAAACTTGACAAACTCCCATGAACTGAATATTTAAGATGACAATAAATGGAGAGAGAACTGTTTTCATGGCACTTTTCAGAAGTCCAAAAAGATCAGAAAATTCATACAGATCTTGAAAGTTAACAGAATGACTAACAATCTTTTAAATGTATGTTGTTCAGAAACGTGTTTTGTGAAAAAATCTCTAACTTTGCTCGTAATTGTCAAATTAGTCTCAATAAATGAAATATTAAGTAAAAATTTGTATTTGGAATTTTTTAAACACCCCTCTATAAATATACTCCCCCAAAGCCAAAACGAAAATAAAGCCCAAAAGCATAAACCAGCATTTCTGCCATTGTTCAGACATTATTAAAGACAATACTGGTGCAAAATTCTTTTTGTCTATTTCAAAAGGCAATTTTTATAAACAAATCACATATACTAACCATTATATCATTCTTTTACGAAGTTGCCGTATGTAACAGCTTCTGCAGTCTCTGCAGTTAACTCTGAAGTCAGAGTTAACATTTGCAAGGGTAAGTAACAATGGCTTCACCAGCTATTTACTGCAGACACATATACTGTCAAAAATATTCTAGGAAGTTACCTTAAATGACAATTTCCACTACTGTATTTCAATCCTGCAAAATAATCAAGACACTGCTTGTGTTCACTTGGAATTACTTAACAGTGGAGACATACAGAGACAGTTGGATTTTCCTGTATCTTGCACCCCATCAGTTACTGTTTACTAATTTTCCCTCTCAAAATACTCACATAGTCAAAGCCTGAATGCATCTAACATTTAAAAATGAAAAGCCTACCCTGCAAATAGGTCATCTAGGCTCTTTCTGTGGTTTTAGAAGTAATTCTGTAACAGCAATTCCAGCAGACACTGCACCCCACATTAAAATCAGATATCAAAGATGGTATCTAGGCTTTCTTCAGGCAGTGAAGTAAGAGGAAGACCTAACATAGATAAGACAGCCTGCTGTTCACTGACTATGAAAGGAACGAGAAATCCCACCTAGAGAAGATGGCTGTACAACCTCCAACAAGCGCTCAGCCAGAACTCAAAAAAACCCTTGTCTCTACTGTCTCACATGCATATACAAAAAGACAGATTCAGCATATACCTTACATACCCTTATGGCTGTCATATTGAATTAAAAAAATAAATAGAATTAAAGTCACAGCACCTTTGACATAGGGCTCGCAATAACCTATTGAGAACAGTTTCACCTCAGAATTTTCAAAAGCCACTTTTTAGGACAGGAAAGCCCATAAAAGTGGTTTAACAGTAACATCAAAAACCTGCCTGCATTTAGACAGAGGAAGTATGGAAATTATGCTCAGAGGTAACGATGTACACCACGAAGCCTCAAGGCAGCCAAGCACTGTTGTTCTTTCAGATGAAGATGGAGAAAAGCAAAGCAGACCACTGAAATTATTTCATTCAAACAACAGAAGTCCACAGCAGATAACATGAGAGAGAGGTTTTCTTTCTAGGTATCTTTTCATTCTCAGCATTTCAACTGGCAGCTCAAAAGACACTTCTGATCTGACCTGGTGCTTTCCCCTGGAGAGAATAAGGATCAGGTTTTCCAAATAGTAGATGATGCTTAGACAGCTGAATCCTACATCTACTAGGGCTTGACAAACAGCCAGGAAGCTGATGTTGCAGCCGCCACCACCACAACCTGAAGCAAAGATGTGTTTGATGTTGCTGACAGTAGCGACAACTGCAGCTGTGATTCAGAGTATTGAAACACAAGCATTCCCTTAGTACTTAGTGTCATCTACTAGTGGTGCTGGGTTTAGACTATGTGGCCATCCACTATAACAGAATAGGCTTTTAAAACGCACTTTTCTCCTCCAGTCTCAAATATTGTTGCACATAAACCTAACCGAAATGCAGGAAAAACATACAGAAAAAAGACTTCAGAGGTTTCTCCCAGTTTTGTGACAGCCTACTCACTGTCCACCGCACACCCAATCAGACCACTGTGCCCTATGCGGGCACCAATATCTAGCAGACCTAAACTATGACCAGTTACTGGTGCTCATACCACTAAACGGAAACAGTGGAAAGAAACAGTCTTGGTGAAACCAGAGCCTGTCTTCCAGCTCAACAGGGTAAATGAATAGCTTACTGTCACTACTAATTTCTGAGACCATTATGTATTTTAATTGCCAAATTTACAGTGTAGTAACTTTTCTAGTTTATTAAATAGAAAAAACAGCATAAAGTATACGGATAGTAAGCACTACAGAAATTGTTTGATATCTACCACTCCAATGTAAAATGATCAGTATTTCACAAGATTTGACTTTTATGAAGTTCTAGTAGCAGAAGAAATTTTGTTTTATCATTTGCTGAATTCATACTGCAAGGATACTAATTTTCTATGAGTATTTTTTACCTTTAGAATTATCAAGTTCTTCACCAGAAGACAAATTTGACTGCGTATTTAACAACTTAGGAGTTAAAACAATTTATATACAATTTGTCCCCTGTATTTGAACAGCATATAAACATACCCATCACTGGGATCCCTAGATTTTAACAGATAACAATTAGCTAACTCTCTTAAAGTACAGTATTTCATGTTCCTAAGGCCTCCAATACTATTCTCCGGTACTGGCTATACATTTCATTAGTTTACAGTGCCATGACCCATGTTTCGAAGTTTGATGAATTACTTGCACATAATCAGATACTTTGACCTTCCTCGTTAAGTCCTTCCACCTTGTTACAACATTAATTTTATCAGTGGCACAATTAATAGTATCTGGCTAATGGTTTAAGATGTATCAGCTGTCAATCTATAAGGAATTAGCTAGCATTTCAGACCAAGTGCCATGCAATAAAACAGTGGTGCTTTTTCCACAACAAATATCAGAGGTCCACATTTTAAAGTTTTCAGAAAAGTATATAGTGATTTTACCTGCCAGTTGATATAAATGTAAAGAATTCAGAGAATTTTTCACATAAAAAATTACCGCTTCATATAGAAACAAAGAAAAACAAGTGCTGAACTTCTGCAAAGAAAACATGACACATCAAGCTGGAGCTCCCTCTCTCTGCAATGCTTCTGAGCTCTAACTTTAAGCATGAACAAGAATTCACAGAAAATATGGTCAAAAAAGACAGTGATGTCTTGAAAAATCACAGAAAGAAAAAGGGACAGACTGACTGGTGTCTCCTATGTTGATAAGCAAGAAATATGACCACACACTGAGGTCGACAGCAACACCTGTTTGGCAAGTCAGTAAGATATTGCACTGAGATCTCCTTTTCTTTCAACATTGTTCACTTACCTACGTAACTATGGAACACATACAAAGCATTTACAGCATTAAATTTTGTTTAAAACACGACAGAATAATTCACTTGCATCTACAGCAACACAGCCAGACAGAATACAATAGACCCAAAAGGAAAAAATTGTAGTAAGGTTTTGACAGTCTCTTGAAAAAATGGGGAAAACTATATTCAGTATTAATGTAAATATGGGGCAAACACTCATTTGTTTAAAAAAAAAATACACATTCTGTACTCATAATAAAGTCAATGGGATTATATGAATGCATCATGAGTTAGAGACAGATACACAGATCTGCTGTACTGAGACCTAGAGGCTGGTTTACTTTGAGCAAACTGACTAAAAACATGCTCAGTGATTAATATGTTCTCAGCTACAATAAACTTCTCAAAAGCTGCAAAGTTCGATGTCTTTCATCTTTTTCTCTGAGTATCTACCCTTCCCAAAACTTCCTATTCCCCCAAATACCTCATCCTCATAGTATGAAAGGGTTAGAAATAAACCTCCAATATTTGAGAGCTAATTTGCCTTCCAACAAACACAAAATGAGACACACATGCCTCTCTCAGATGAGGCATAACACTGTATGTGGAGTATTTTCCATAAATAACACTGTATTTTTCCATACATAATACTGTAAGTTAGTGGAATATTTTCCATAAAATCTGCAAGTTTTGTAGGGAGAGGCATCATATAGCCTAGTCGAAACAACGGGAAAAAGCACACAAACTTGCAAGTTCAAAATCCTTTCAGCCTGCCAAAACAATCAGTGGAACGGATGATACTTAGTTTGCCATAATTAGGCTTCAGAGGTAACAATTAAGTGATCAGAACATTCACACCCACGCCAACCAAAAAAGCACGCATTATATGAACTAATTTTCTCCGAACCTGCCTGTCAGCAAATCACTACTGAGCAGGCATACGAACACTGCATTTTGGCAGGGATTAATACTAAACATGATTATCCAAGGTATTTGTCAATTATTTGGAAGTAAACGTAAAGTCACCTTCAGTATATTGCTAGATTACATAAATTTTGTCAAAAAGGTTTACAGTGAACAGGGAAGTACAGGAAGAAGTAGGAATATGTACTGGCTGGTAGTCCTGAACCAACTAAATCAAAAGTAGTTTTGAAAATTGCACAGCTGAGGACTTTATGCTGTATTTGCACTTATGGGGGACTCTGCAAGGAACCTTTGATGTAAAAGCTTGCAGTTATGGTGGACAAGTGATCTGAAATGAGCTATCAGAGCAATGAGAACAAAGGTGATCTGTGATTCTGTAAACAGAACAGTAATAGAAGAAACGTAATTTTATAAGCAGAAGATGACAAATGTTAGAACACTATATACAAACCCAGAGTCCAATACTGACAGCTACATTGGAAAACTGAATAGAGTACAGCAAATCCACAGAGATTTAAGGCTAAAGAAATGCTTCATACAAAACCTACTGATATTTCTTTTTTTAAGCACAGAGAAATGCTAATAAGAAGAACCGAAAGCTTAAGCTAGAGAAATCCATACTGAAATTAAGATATAACTATATAACAGTAAAGTTAATTGTCAGAACAAACCATGAAGAATGGAAGGCATCTCAAGGTTTTCTGATCAATATTGTAACCTGCATAAAAAGATGCTAAAAGCTAAAGTGCATCACCGGTACAAGTCAAACAAGACAAGTCACGAGAATCAGTATTTTTCACTGATTTTTGCCTGTAAGAGTCTGAAATAAACACATTATACTACACGACCTAGTAATGTCTTCTATTCCTAAGTTTCATTAAATGATATAAAAAGCTACCCAAGCAACACACTATATTCCAAGCTGTCTGGAAAGGGAGAACCACCAAGCCTAACCAAATTTAATCAAACTATTAAAGGTTTCACTCCCACTCTGGATTTTTCATGGCATGCACTCAGGTATGACACGTCTGACTATAAAGCCCTATACAGAGACATAAATACCACCACTATATGTACCATCATAAAGCCCTAATACAAAAAGAAGGCTGGTCATGCAGCCCTAGGGCTAGTAATTTTGGATTTCAGTTAAAGCTGGAATGATGGGGGGGTGAGGAAAAAGCCCCAAAAAAATAAGTACTACTCAACATGGTTTAGAACTAGAAACAAAACAGTTCCTTGCCATGGATTTTTCTAGATGCCTTGTACATGAGGTCAAGAATTCTGGATTTACATTGCAAATATGATTGGTAACTGGGATGCCAGTGAAGAATTCACCCGCAATATCTAGCAGGTGCTATTTCTTTAAAAAGGCATATTTTAAAAATAAATTTAAGCCTTCATATTGAAGGTTAGGGAAAACAAACATAAGAACAGAAAGTAAGAGAACTACCAAGGCTAAGTATAAAGAAAACTAGATGCATTTTCCCTGAAAATATGCGTTGTTGAAAGTACTCCAAGCAAGAAGAGGACCAGCAGAGCTGCTAGGATTTGTCTTGATAACTACTCGAACCTTGCAATTTAAGTTTAAAAACTGGCAGTCTTCTGTCCTGACAATGGATGCCCAAGTCTCCTCAGTTTAATGACTACTTAGTTCAGTTAATTCATACTCTATTTTACACCCCATGACTATGAAGAACAGGGCTATCTATTGTTACAGAATCATTCCCTGATGCAGGGATTGTAGCATCTGTGACGCTACATGAGAGGGACAAATTAAAAGAAATTTTTTTAACTAAAGCACTTTCATTTTAAAATAAATTCTGTGTTCTAGTATCTAAATGCGAATAGGGCATCAGAAAATATAAAGCAAATAATTTCTATTTTTCTACATAAAACACGCCGTTATCTGTAATTCCATACAAAACCACATTTCCTAGAAACCTAAGGTCTGTATTTTTGTAAAGTTGATATATTTTACAAAGGTAGTAATGACAGTTTTGAGTGGACTGAGAAGTGATAAGAAACACTGCAAAAGTGCCAGAAAAAGAAATCAAAATTGCACATAATATTGTCTTACCAAGACACTATTTTTTCGCACTCCTTACCAAATATAGCACTCTAATGACATCTCAATACTGTCCTCTCTTTCCTACATTGCAAATTGTATTTTCCTCCCCCAGTACCATTCTCTGGTTTTAGTTCAAGCTGCCTACAGAATACTGCACAATTTCAGCACGAAACCAGAGAGACACAGGGGTAAACTAGCAATTAGGTCATGAAAAAACAAGCACTGTCAAACAGCTATTGCTAATCTACATGAGATACGTTTACTCAATTAGATAGATGGAACTGTTATTATGAACTCGTACTCCATAGATGGTCTCCAAAATGAAGAGGAATGGGGACAAACAAAATGCACATTTGGTGATTTACAAACTTGCTATGCTAACTGTGAAGTGATAATGCAGAACAATATAATGAAATAAGCAAATTTAACAGATGCTTTGCATGCAAGCTTCAGGAAAATGCTGTGTTTTTTTTTTTTTTGCCTACAGTAACACAGATGCACCTCTTGTTCTTCTCTCGGGAGTCTTATTTCTTTTGAAAAAGGTAACTGACAGCTCATTCTGCTGCCCAGTGATAGCAGTGCTATGGCTGACCAAATTAATTCCACGTCAAATCTCAAACTCTGCTAAGTGCAAGTGGTGACTCTCAACCCTTCCTCTTGCTTCCTGCCAGCCAGTCTACCAAGGGAGGTCAGGATGCCAACCAGTGAGACTGGTGAGAGTTGGCTCTGGCTCATACAAGTGACATTGGGTCACCTGGCAGACATGAGGGTCACACGCTATGTCACACCCAGCAGCATGACAGGGTACAGGGTGGTGCTTCTGTGAGAGGTTAAGGGTGGTGTGGAGGGGGAGTGTGCCAAACCCACACCTCTCATGTGTGAGCAGTGCTACTGGAGGCAACAAAATCCAGTAACTCTCCTGTGACACCTGGCAGAGGTGAAATACAGAAAATTTCACATGTGGTCTTTCAGTGAAGCATAGGAACATGCACACTACAATTTTAATGACTTTATACTTTCACTCGCACTTCTGTTTCCAATAACTGGTCCTTTTAAAGCTATAGTTCACAGATTTCAATTAAGAATGTATGCTAGCTATTTTGAACAATGGCAATACGTTACTATCTGACAATTTAACAAGTTTTTAATAACCCGAGTCAGGACACTTTTCAAGGGCCCATTTTGTGGTAGGTATCTCAAACATAATGGCAGGCCTCCCTAACAAGCATTAAATGCACTATTTTGCAAGATTTGGCTTGGGTCCACGATGTTCACTGAGGTGCTGAATGTTATCCATTTTCTCAAAATAGATTTAGCTACAGATAAATTGAGAATTATTGCTGAAACTGATCTCTTTGCTGATTTTACAAAATTAAGCTATTCTGTAAATATAAATAATGCAGCTGTATTTTAAGTGCCTAAAGGCTTATGCATACTCAAAGCTAGTAAATTATCATAGGGCACTCAATGCACTTGTCAGAATAAAGGAACTTAAAAGCATGCACTTAAGTACAGTAAATAAAGCAAGCAAGTACGCACATACAAACACAGACAAAAAAACTTCTAAAATTGCCTTCAGAAGAGGGCAGGTTTAATCATTGTCAAAAGTAAGTAACTGAAAGAAGAAAAAGTCACCTATAATTATTCTGAATACTTTATTAAAGGAAATGCTAATTGCCTTCTCTGGTCTTTTATAAGAGTATGAAGACTTTAAGGCATTTATTTTGACAACAGTATGAATCCATCTCCAAAGTCTGCATCCATGCTTTTGGAAATCCAAATCTATCACAAAAATCAACTCAATCTGCACAAAAGAATTATTAAACATATTAAATTTTTAAAAAATATTGACAGACAGAGAATACAAGAATGCTCAAAACACAAGAGGTCACTTCTGAAAATGTATACTTTGAGATCTATACATTTGCAATTTCCCCCTCCTGTAAAGCAGCATTTCTAGCAAAGTATGCTTTTGCCGCTACGATATAACTATCACCTGAGTTTTATGCTTCTGTAGGAACAAACCAGCGACATACTGCAAAGTTAGGCACAAAATTAAAAGCTTATTTAAATTTAACAGCAGTACAGAAATATATAAAGCACGTATTTTAGAGGACGATAAAAATGTTTGCTCGTATACAGTTTGTGTAGTAGGTATATCATATTACATCTTTTTTTATTAAGACAGTGGTAAAAACTCACTCTGAAGTGTTTCAAGTTCAGCCTTAGCCAGGGCATCTTCTTTCGCCTTCATTTTTGTTTCTTTATATTCTACATATAATTGTCTGGCATCCTTTAAGAAAATGTTGCAATGGCATTAGCATCCTTATACAAACAAGTTATTGCAATGGCTCTGTTTCAAGTTCTCAATTAACCTCGCAAAAAAATTTAAGATATATTCATTTCCTTGAGTTACAGCAATTTCCAGCATAGAAAGTATTTGTTTAGAATGTAGAATTTTTGTGCAATAAAGGTTCAAATGTAATAGTGTTGATATTATAGACTATGATGCTCATTGACAACCTGAAAAGCAACGTGGTTAGGAAAACATTTCTGATCACTACCTACAGCTTTGTAAGAGGCCATGTACCCACTTTGCTCACATCAGCAACCTGAAAGTTCAAGGAAGAAAGAAAAGTTTTTAATTAGTGTATGCAGGGACACAGGCAATTGCTAGACAGCAGTCTTGGTGTGAACTCATTACGGTAACACTAACGCCATGTTCCAAAATCCACTTGTTCTCTTCGCCCTTTTTTTTTTTAACCCAACTTCTACATTGCTGTTAAAGTGTTGGAAATATATATTCAGTTTCTCCAAGGATTAGATTAGATTCTAGTCTGAAATCTATTTGGCAAATTTACACATAAAACTAGAAGTCCTGTCACAAATCTCACAATAAGGTACACATTTCCAAAACCTGATAACTTACTAATTATACATTTGCATTGAAAGCTTTCCAATATGAACAAACAGATTGCTGAAGTAAGAGGTAAGAAGAGTTTTATTACTCTCACTTAGCAGTTTAAAAGATTTATACACTCGCTCAAAAACAATGAATCTATAATAGAAATGCTGAAATAGATGAATTATTATTTATAATTTCCAAGCATGCAGAATATCTATTGTATTAAATAAATTAGGTTTAGCTAATACTATAATTAATTTTTTAGTTCTTTATAGCCCAAAATAATTTTATTATTTTTATTACATTAACAGTCCTGCTTTTTCCATATAAATGGTGATTTAAAGTTTAATATAGGATGTATCGTAAAACATCAGTAAATATTTTTATAATTTCATAATCTCATAAATTTGAACAAAACCTGGTCTCATTAATAATGAAATAAGACATCTTAATAAATTTTGAAAATAAAAACTGAGTTCAGCAGTCATTATTGCTGCCTCTAATGGCAGAAGTCATCCAAAAGCATTGGTTCCTGCAAAGACACTACAACACAACAGTTGTTCTTTGTGTTATGCTGGCATCTACCCCTTCAGAGATACTTGAGCAAGGTGGGAAAACACAGGACAGAATCATGATCCAGCTCTGAGCAGAACTTCATCATATTTTGGAGACATCTGGACAATACAAGCCAGCGTACCTGAAGAACTCTGACAAATTCCCACAAAAGATCAGTAAGTTTTCATCTCCTTCCAAACTACCTCTTCTTACTCTCTATTTATCCTTACACTGGGGTACAGGAAATGGAAGTTACACTTCTCTGCCAGGTTTATGTAGGAGATCAGTGCGCACAGAAGACATTTTATAGCGTTTACATAACTTTTTGCTGCTGGAACATAACAGATGAGAGCATCTTGCATGCTTAGTTTTGGTTTTGGGCATGGGGAAGAAAGGGGGTTTTGGTGGTTTTAGTAGAATTGGGGCTAAAAAAACCCCAAACATGCATAGGTACAGGAGGACTACCATTAACAGCAGATATGAAGGCTCTGAGGAAACACATATCGTTTCTATATTAGAATATTGAACTACAAAATTAGGATCATCATTGGTTCTCTTTTCAGTTTACCTGAAGTATGAATTTCCCATCACATAGGGAAGCTTTCATTGTACTCTTCAGATTTGGGCTATTTGAATCATTAAGAAACAGAAATAGCCATAAATGTAATGGTTAACTTCTGCTATAAGTTTGAGACATTTGGGTTGCATGTCATACACCGGACTCAGACATACTGATATCCAAAAAATTCTTTGTTTAAGGCTATGATTTCAAAATGGCTACAATTAACTGGCATTTAAATTTAACCCATTTGACACTGAAAGCCAATATTTGATGCTAAATTCTGGTGTAAAATCCATTATTGCTTGTGGGATCTCCAGACAGCAGGCACTAGGGGGTAACTGTCAATCTCTCCAGCATGTCAATCACAGAACAATTGGAAATGTGGCTCAGATGAAAATGAGACACAATAGCTGAACAACAAAGAAAACTAGTCAGAAGCACATAAATGAAATTTACTAGTATTGTTGCTTTACAGTTATAAAATGGATTATCACTGCAAATGGAATAATATGCAGGTAACAAAGGCAACGTTAGTCTTCTATCTTATGAATCACAGTTTATTATGGCTGATACCATAATCACAAAAAAAAGGGAGACTGCACGTTTTGAAGTGCATATAAAAATGTATACATATAAAGTAAAGCAAAGGAAAAAACAATGAAAAAAATTAATCAAAATGGATTTTGAAGATTTGAAAATCAAATCCTTCCCACAAAAGTATAACTCTACAGGTTGTAAAGAGAAATTAAAAGACATACTTGAGTAAAGATTTCAGCCACAGACACAAACTATATGGGTATTAGACCTTATAAGTCAAAATAGAAAAGCACTGGAAAAAGTTTAAAGTAGGAAGTTCTTTGAAGAAAGCTTCTGCCTTAACATAAATAAGCGTATTTCAATTTACTCATTAGTTTTCAACATTATCAGTCTAAACATGAATATTAGTTTTCAAGTTTTCAAGCATATTCAGTTTTGGTAGTAAGAGTATTTCAAAATAAATTTACATTCAGATTTTTTACTTTTCCAAAGTGATAGATTTAAGCAGTCATTTTGCCTCAGTACAAACATTTTAGGGCCCTAAAACATAAGCAATACAGATACAGCCTCTTCCAATCTAATGCTGTCTCCTCCAAGATCCAGTAATGATTTTTCTTCTAGAGGATCTTTCCACAAACAGCTCAAAATATACACAACATCAAAATTTTAGACCTGATCCATACTTCACCTTCAATAGGTAATAAGCATAAGAAATGTAACATTTTTGTCTTTCTGGAGTTGGAAAGGGACAGAGGAAAGAGACACACAAATACAAAGCTTGGAACTGTTCTAACTAAAAGCTCCAGCTTACCTAATCAGAAATATTTTGTTCTTATTTACAGGAGTTTGAGAACTTTTCAAAAAAGAACATCACACATATATAGTACTTTTCTTCACCAAAGCAATAACAGGCATGTAGTTAAGCAAAAAGAATAAATGAAGAGGGCTAATATATGTTGCTTTATTACACTGTGATTTCAAATACACACTTTCCAAAAAGGAAGAGAATGAAGAGAGAGCTCATTCGAAACTCAAAATTCAGCTATTAGTATTTCCAAATTATACTTCAACTGTCACGTACAGGAAATTCCTGAAATTACCCTCACAGTTAACCAAAAATTTCAAAAAGTGTCAAGGAAGAAAAATAAAAAGTGACAGGCAAACACTTAATTAACATATTTAACATATTTTAATCACAAATAAGAACCAAGAATACTGAAAAATTCTTATATTTCAGCTCCTCTTCATATTAGTATCGTCTCGTGTCAATAAATTTGAGATTGCCAAGACAAAGCTGCACTTCAGGTATGCAGAAATACAGAAATTCTTCAATACTGGACTTTTAAGGGTTTTTTTTCTTTGTTTGGTGGCTTGGGGTTTGAGGTTTTAGTTGGGTTTTTTGGTGGGGTTTTTGGTTTTGGTGGTTTTTTGGTTTGTGGTTTTGGCTTTGATTTTTTCTTTTGGTTGGTTTGGTTGGTTTTAAGTCAACAGATAAGGTATTTATACAAACTGTACTGATTCTGGAACTAAAAACTTCAGTTCTGAGTAAGATTCAGTCACTCCGGCCTCTCCTTGACTTTTGGGGAGGGTGACGAGGCTTTGTTGGTTTGTTTGCTTTGTGGGTTTTTTTCTCCCTCCAGTTAATCTTCCTGGCTTTCTGGTCTGCCTCAGAAAGACTAGAGATTAGGAGAAAAGGCAAACATTGGAAACAACTTGCTGTATTGGCCATATGTGAATCTTCATTACAAACTTTCTGATAGAATCAGCTTCACTTTTAGTTCTCTGGGTGAGGGATCGATACAAACAATATGCATCCCCTCAGAATTCACAAGAATACTTAAAATCTGTATATTTTGAAATTATATCATTTTCTTTGCATTAGTTCTTATTACATTAATCTATAGACTTAAAGAGGAGTATTTGTATGAAGTTCCTGAACTTAGATACTGTCTTTTTGAGTACAGTGTACTTGTACAATTTGTACAAAAAAAGAAAGGAGTAAAATTAAAATTACTGCAACATCCAACCTTCAATTTGCTATTTCTACGCAATAAAAATGCCAGCAATTATACCACAGCAAAATCACTCTTTTTGATGTGTTTATAAACTATTAATGTCAATATGTTATGGTAAGAAATAATATTAAAAAAAAGTTAAACATTATGACTTATATTTCTCTTTGGCATTTTTACACATTTACTCAAAGGCAAACTAGTAAATAAATAGGAATTGCGTTACTTTCTCCCTCACAATCAGCAAATCATGCTTTGACCTTGGAATAATACCAGATGTGGCCAGGCGCTTCAGCTGTGTGCAGCCTGTGGGCAGTTGAAGCTTGGCTCCCAAGCCTCGCATGAGCCAGTGACCAGAATCTGCAGTATCTGCTGGGGACTCCACACCCACAGTGGTAAAACAAAGGCAGGCAGAAGGGGAAACTGAGGCCAATGCCGCAAGGCCTCCCTGCAACCCATTCACGCCTTGTGAAGCCTCATACCACAACAGAGCAGTACCACTAACTGAGAGCCAGTATCGCCTGTACACACGAGCTACTCTTGGAGCTACACTACTCTAACGATTGTGCTGGGATATGCAGACATACAGTAAGGGATTTGAAGGAGCAGAACAAAATTAGCTGCCACAAAACAGCAGGCAATTAAAGACAAATTTCTTTAGTGTCTTACATTTACTTAAAACTTTTACTATGCAGCAAAGCACATTTTGCTCCAGAGCCTCAGACAGTACCCTGTTAAACATAAATTATTTTTGCTCACTTGCATACACCCAGAATACTTGTTTTACCATCGACTCTCCTCTGACCTGCTTCTAAGCTTCTAATTGACCTCAGGGTCAAGAGCTTCATCCCTACTTTGGTTCTCTCAACAGCTGTGAAATAGCAAGAAACAGAGCAAATGGGCCATCACTCATGCCACACATCCTGCAATTGCTGGCTCTCCACAGCTTACATCAACATTGGTGCTGTACAGTAAGTTGGAACACATCAAAACCCTGTAAAGCTGGGAATTAAGGAGATGTTTAACCGTACTGACTTGAATAAATGCCTTCAAATAAATCTCTTTTTTAAGGCATATGTTATTAAATGCAATAAATTTTATTTTAATCTCACATAGTTATCTTATATACAGTCATATGTGAAGACAAAAACAACCCACACAAATGTTTGCTGATCTCAGACCTTGCTTAAAATCTAACTTTGCCAAAGGAGATGCCCTGCTGGCAAAGCCTCTTGAGTTTAATGACACATCGCCAATCCATTTAATGCCAATGCTGAACCATCTCTAAACAGGTGTTGAAATGTAATCATGGATTAAAGAAAACTTGAGGACAAAATGCCAAGAAATTAAACACCTCTGGGTCAGTAGTTTGAATCTATTCCAGGCTACTAAATCAGCAACAGTAATTACCATCTGGTAGTCTACATAAAAATAAATTACTGGGCTTTCTTTTTTAATTCACTGCATGCTACACAAAGGTCTTTATAAACAAAAGTTTCAGTTGTAATTGAAAGCTTTGTTGATAATCTCACTAGGTTATACCCAGTGCAACTATGTATTGAGCTTGAACTGCCTTCTCATTACTAGTGAACCACCAGAAGTTCTTCCAACAGTTCACTGCTAGGGTAATGCACTACACTTACACTATTACAGATGGAAGGTAACAGGAAATGTTATTTTCTTAACAAGAATCCATCTACATCTGAAACTAACAAAAATGCTTTCTGCTTCATTACATTCAGGACAACGGCAGGCTCATAATTTAACTACTAAAAAAGATTTCCTAGGGCCGACTGGCATTAATGAAATTGGTGTAAAAATAGACATTCATTGCTAAGCTTCACCACATCAAGGCAGAGGAAAAGTAGCTGACAGGAACATTAACAAACATTCATCTTCAGTTTTCTGAAGGAAATATTTTGTGAAGAATAATTACAACATTTTTAAGAAAGACCACTTTTCTTAAGTTGTATGTCTGCATATCCAAAGAAAAAGTCTAATCAGCTGTTTTGGGAATAAACTACAATTTACTGCAATATGACTGTCCTCCCACAAAAGAAAAGTATACTTAACACAACGATGTATTCTGTATTACACTCAGCATTTGAGCCGAAACTCTTGGGCGCTATATTTAGCTGATTTACTTCTTTATAAGAACAATTTTCAATTCCAATAAGCATTTTATTTGAGTTGTGGTTTGTTTTTTTTCCCCTCCTTCTTTTATTTATTTTTTTAAATATATAGCCTTCTTCCAGGTCATTCTCATGAAAGAATAAACTATAAATGACCTTAGAAATAATTAATTTGCATTCTTTTTCTATCTTTTTCTTGAGCCTGCATTATAAGAATTAAACTTGGCAATAGTCATTGTAATTTACACTCCACTTAATGTTTCTTTCACACTACAGATATTTGATTTATGATACATTTTATATATTCTTTTCCCTTTGCTTCTTCAAACAAGCTTAAAGATGCTGTTTTCAGCCCCAAATTTAACTAAATTAAACGTGTGGATATAAAAACCTATGTAGTCTCTCTCAAAATACAATTGTCAACAGTTTAAAAAAAAACAATCATTTTTTAGTTTCTCTCATCCTCCTCTCACCCATTTTTCTTCCAGTTTCTTGACATAAAATGCAGACTACAATAAAATGGCATAGGCCATCACAAGGGCATGCAAACAAAGCATTTTTCTTCAGTAAAGGCCCACCTTAATTATTTTAAGTGCCTCCTTCTGAAATCTGACATTTTGAAGGAGGAGGGGAAGTAAGAGAAAGACACTCAATTGGATAAATGAGAGCCAGGCATGAGCAGAAGCTCAGCAACCTGAATCCTCAGAGCTGTTTTAAGTAGAATACTCACATTAACTAATGGGGGGAAAGATAGATGCTATGTAAAAGGAATCAATACAAGAACTAGCAAAAAGTTTAAATCAATCTCTCCTTGTGGGTTTTGTTTTGTTTTGTTGGGATGAGTTTCTTTTTTTTGTTGGGTTGGTTTTGTGTTGTTGGGTTTTCTTGTTACTTTTTGTAATAAAATTTTCTTTGAAGAGAACTTGTGTACACAGGCAGGTGGTTTTCCCTAATTTGAGGAAGCAGTTCAGCTATTTCACTGACAGGGCTTCGAAAAACTCAGTGACAGAAACAACATTTAATTAAAAGTATTGCTAACGCTTACCCTTTTCTGTCTCAAACAGGGTTCACTTAAATATGGATGCATTTTTAGAAGTTAATCTACAACTGCATCAGCTGCATATGAATGATAGGCAACTTTGAAAATAATTTGTTGGGTCTTAAGTGACTGAAGAAATCATTTATATTAACTTAGTAAACTAAAATCTGTAGCAGCCATCCTTATGTCAACCACTGTAACACTTTGTTAAATCATTCGCATGTGTAACTAGCACATCTAACACCACTCAATATCTGTAGGAATCTTATCTTCTAGATAAGCTGCCCTAGTGATTCTACTTATACTAAAAGCCTGAAATACTCTGAAATTTCAAGCCTATATTAGTGTATTATTGAAAAGAAAAGCACTTACATTCAAAACAGGATCTCTGTACCAGGGTATAATCGTTTAAGTACAGCTACTTTTTTTGCTGTATGCGGGTAATTGCAATTAAGGTAGAACTTGCTAAAACCTTAACTACAACTTAAAAAGAGCCCAGAGGTGTCTCTTTCTGGCTAGCTACAACATTCAAGGTATCTTTTGCACTGTGATTTCAGAAAACATCTCCAACATGAGGTCATTGCTGCTCTTATGCTCTTCAGAAGAGGTAATACTTCTGTAAGTATTAACTAATAAGCTACAGTAATTTATTTCAGTTACCTGAAGTCCTGAATATTCTTAATATTGAAGGTTACTTAACTACTTATATTTTATTGCATTTTAACTTCCATAACTGGCAGGTCATCTTAACCAACAACAAAACAAACCCTGGAGTTATGCAGTAGTGTAATTTACATATGGGGCAATATACTCTACCCAGCTCTTCGTTTTCTCCTTGCTCCAAAGCCTTCCCACTCCGAATTCCTCTACATCATGCTTTCTCTGCCAACAAATCCCTGCTTGCTGGTCTCCAATTTTCCATGAGTTATTAGGTACCTTTTTTCTCCACTATCATTAATTCAATAGATTTAAAATCCACAGCAAGAGGTTACTGGCTAGGTGTCTACAAAGTGCAAAACATCACTTCTGTTGTATTCTTCTTTTCTGCCTATTCTGGCAGACATAAGAGCTGCTTTTTGAACCATCTGAAACCTGTTACACTGACTTCTTAACACACTATCTTAAAGTGATAAACATGAGAAAATTACAGCTTAAATTATAAGAAGTCCTAATTTAATGAATCTTACTATATTCTGTAATATTTTAAATATTTTGCAATTAAGGCAAAAGGGGAAGTACTATAATTATGAAGAAAGTTTCCTAAATGCAGCAACAGCAATTGCTGAACTTAATTCTTTTCCATTTGACTCACTTCAAGGAGGTAAGAACATCAAATCTTAATTTGGACACAACAGTTGATTTAATTAAGCATCAGCATTTTTGTTTTAAAAATTGCAAAAAATAAAAGTTTCTGTACTAAAATAGCCACACAGTTCTTACGAAACTTTTGAGAGGAAGAGATATTAACTTTTGCATCTCTTTGTAGGAAAAGTCAAAGGCTATGAAAATGGGTGTTGGAAGACCAGACTTTATTGCATTTGTAACTTTTACAAGCCTTTCGCTAAACAATTAGGAATTCTGGTTTATATGCTTTTTCCATCTTGAACACAGACAGAAATTGAACACTGATGCCATTTATACTATCTATACTTCAGAATTAATAATATTTCTGTAAACTAAAGTAAAATCTACCTTGCAATCCCTGATCCATATTCATTAGCAGTGACAAGGGTATTAAATACAAATGGATGTATTCAAGTGAAATGAAAAGAAAGAGCAAGTGATATTAAAAAAAGTTATTCTGATAACTGATCGGACAATACTTACACCAGCTGAATATCAGCTAAATTTCACATTTTATAGTATTAGGTTAAAAAGCCACAACTGTGGGCAAGTCTACCACATAAATTACAACTATACCTTTGTTACTTCACCTTAGCAATTTCAGGTATCAGTTTATATAATTATCCAGTGACTCAAAAAAAAAAAAAATCAACGAAAAAAGTAATTTCACTGTTCCCCAAAATTTAAATGACACAAGTTTTCACTATGAAAACATAGCATTTGCCTATTTGAGATAAAAGTACCTTTGTTAACAGACTGTTTAAAAAGACACTGCTATTCCTAATTAGATGTATACAGATCACCCCTCGCCCATCATTTATTCTTGTAGTTTCACTTAAGAACTGCTGCTGAATTCCCTAGCAAGTTAATCTTAATATCCATTTGAAATATATTCATATTTTGATAAAATTAAAATATTAAATTTGCCTCCAAAGAGTAATTTTTATAAATCTATATACAGTATGAGCCTGAGCCCAAATTGTAAGAATCAGTGCTACACATTCAATTACGCATAACAACACCATCAAGAAAAATAAAGTAATATAACTTAAAACTACTACTATTACCTGGAACAGCTGAGGTAAAGCTTTCACAGTGAGACAGAACCATATTCCCAGCTTGCATGGAAGTAAGTCATGCCACTGCGGTTTGTCTAGTACTCTGCAGTCAAATAAAATCATAAGTTTTTCATTACTGCCACGTAATCTCAAAGTCAGAACTTTCCCATTATCATTTAAAATGATTAGCACTTGTCAACTCCTACAAAAATGTGTAACTACATGATACTAAAGACACATTTTGAATATTTAATTCAAGAATATGTAACAGCTAACTTCTAATCATCGCTGTATTTTAATCTCTTAAAAAGGGCTTTTCTTCAAGAAAATAAATTTGTAAGCCACATAATCAGTTCAGTCTAAAAAAGCCCAAAACTGAAAAAACCTCAAGGCTCAACCAAGTGTTCACAAGTGCTGACAAGCAGATATGAAGACTGTGGCATAAACAAAACAATACATTAAAATTAATGTCATTTGCAGTTCACTGGAGCATTACTCACTGATGTCATCAGGAAAGAGGACAGGCAGAATGGTCTCTGATCTCCATCCTGCATTGATCCAGTTCATGCCCCTGCTGTGTGAACTATTTAAACCCTTTATTTCTTTCTATGAATCAATAGAAGAAATGGTGGTATCTTTTGGAGTGTCCTGAAAGTCACTATTTCCTGATGTGCTTCTCAACAATGGCGTTAGAAGCCTTTACCAACATGCTTGGTTTTAAGTTAATCAGATAAAAAGCATTAAATCAGACAAGCATTAAAACCCTATAAAAACTCCTTGCTTGGTATGGTTATAAAATAAAGCTTAAGTAAATTGAAATCTGTTAATTGTAATCAAAGCAAAAATTTTCAAAGGTAGAAAAACTTGTAAAATCTTCTAAAATCAACTTGTAGAAATAATACCCTTTATAAGCCAGATACCACTAATTCAGCCTTAATCTTTCAATTATTGTTGATCTGCTGGATAAACACCACACATTTATTTACAAATCAAAACCTTAAAGCACATCTACACTGGCAGACTTGATATCAGCAATGGCTGTTACCACAAATACAGTTATTTTTCTCATAAAATATTTCAAAGATGCAAGGAGAACATGACAGAACTAAACCAGTAGCTGATAAAATGCTTTAATATGCAGAAAACAAGAAGAGTTCCTTCCCACCTTTCATTTTTGTCTAGAGCAGCAAGTTTGGCTTCATCTGTACTCCTGCCGCCTGTTTTTTTCTTCTTCTCCCTCTTTTTTCTGCTAAGCAGTTCATCCTTGATGTAGAAAGAACCAGAGTTACAGGTTATCATTAACATGTAAACCACAAACGTTACTGGGACTTTTCTGTGAAGGGTAAACAGTAGAGTAGCATTTATGCAAATTTATCTAGAGGTCCCACATGATTAAGTAAAATGATCTATCTTAACAATAACTGTTGCCATGGTATCCAGTCTTTAAACACACATGAAGTCCAGTTCTGTCACTCATGTGTATCTCCATAGCAATCAAAGTTTTCTAAGAGGAGAAAGCATTCAACTTGCCTCCTTTTCTCATTCATCAACTTCAATAATGCAGTGGAAAATAAAAAAAAAGTAAATAGATGCTAATGTATGAATAATTTTCAAGTTATGCTTAGGTTTTTTCCTAGTCTAGTAAGTGCAATAGATATTTTGTATGACAAAAATAAATGTGGTTTATACTGCTTACCAATGCCTATCCTGTTAACAAAAATCTAAACAAGAAAGCATTTAGCTAAGAACAAAGGCAAAGCAAGTATGACTCTTAAACAAATAAAACCTGATTGTTTTTAAACAACGTTTAGGAAAATCATAGACACGACTACAGTAGCACATGACTCAGCATCAATAGATGATAAAAGAGTTTTTATTCCTCTTCCTTCCAGTTAAAAACCAAAGAACCATCTCTTGCTATTGATTACCAATGCTAGAAAAACTGAGTAGTTTTTAGATTACCTTTTCTGATATGTTGACTATCTCATTCTATAATTATCACTATTCTAAATATAATCATTTTAAAATATGAAAAATACAAATTCAAAACAGCAGAAGTGGTGGAGATACCTACAACACGAAACTTCTGCAGGAAATTCAATACTAATAATTGAAGCGTTTGATTTATTACCAATACTTACCAGCTGTTTTTCCAGGTAGATTGACCAAACCACAGCATAATGACCCACTGTGAGTATAATGAACAAGAGTAATGCCAGCTCAGCATTGCTCATTTTTCTCACCCGCCTGTAGTAGAATACAGGCTGTCGCCAATCTGGTAGTCCATTGATCAGAATATCATCATACCTACAGTAGCAAATAGAACAGGCTTTCATGGACAGCTAAACATGAAATCAGCCAAACCATCCAATTACAAAACAAAGCAAATGATAATCCACAGACTGCTTGAATAATACACACAAAACACCATTCAGTAAATTTTTCTCTTTTTTATTTTTTTTTTTTTTTAAAAAAAACTGAGCAATGCCTTGTTTTGTCAGCTGCTAGACTTGCATCTGGAATTAAACAGAATCCAGAACCAAATGCTGGGGAAGTGTACCTAGTCTTTTGAAAGGGGAAAAAGAAAAAAGTAAATAATTAAATTGCTCCTGCACCGCCCGCCCGCCCCCCCCGCCCAATTCATTCACTTGAAATAACAGACTTCTAAGAAATGCGGATGTGTGCTACCTGCCTGGTAACCAGTGGGCAGGTCCCCACGACAGAAGTACCAAGCCACAAACTACTACTTTTACAAACTAAAACCACAAGTGTTGGGGGGAGGGGAGAGGTGTCTTTGCTTGTGTTATCCTTTAGTAGCACCATATCCATTAGGTAAAAATGCTGCCAAACTTAACATCCATTCTGTGTCAGACATGAACTGAAGTTAAAGGCTTGATTTTGATGTTAGAAAACAAAGTCCACCACAGCTAGACGGCTTGGCTTTTCTACTTGAAAAGCTGTCTCCAAAATCAATCTATTTTAAAACTGTTTAATTCTACTAACACTACTGACTGTACAGAAACCATTTTATGGCAATTTGTCACTTTTTCATCACACAAATGTCTTGAAATTCCTTAGCACATCTGGGGTCTCTTATTTACAGAAGATTATCAACAATTCAAAAATAAACCACAGACATGCAAAACAGATTTTTCTATTAGTTAACTTTTCAGAGTAAAGTTCCAAACAAAATCTCTACAGTAAACTCAAAAACCTGTACATTCAAGATGCACAACCTGATAATCTTAAATTGAACACAACTCATTACACATTCTAATCACACCGTTTCCAGAATTAAATCTGCACTGAAAGGCCTAATTTGGTGCAACACATTGACCAAAATATTTTAATTAAAAATATTCTGAGTTAGTCGCAGGCCTAATTACAGGAATAGAAATAGGGCCTATATTGTCATGCAGGTCAGTAGAACTCAGTAGTAGGTTTTTCTCAAGTAAATTGACCGATCCAGGAATAATAGCGCAGCTGCTAAACTGCCAGTCTTGACATGTAAATCAATTTAAATGCAACAACTGCACTAGCTACTTTGATAGTTATTAAATTGATACCTTGGAGATGTACTAAAAAGAATTTCCACAAGCAAGTTCATTTTTTTTAAGCAGAAGAAGAGGTAATTGTTTTCAATTAAAAAATATACTTTAATTCAGCACATACAGAAAAGCTGACTTCTGATAAAACATTTGTTCAAGTTGGCACTGTTATTTCTGTGCAAAAGATTTAACACCTCAGGATTCTGCAGTGTTTTGAGTACTACCAGAAGTAAAATTCATATTACAAAATTCTACCTTCCATGACAATGATGAGAATACCAAGATTAATATCCATTATTGTAAAATTTAGAGTAATAACTTTTTTCCTTTCCCAGTAAATCAGAACAAATTAACTACTGATGCCTTAACATAAACTCTAAAATTGCTTAGGATGTTATTTCAAATCTAAAACTTCTCCTTAACTTTTTGTTAAGAATTAAGTAAACGTTTCAGCATTTTAAAAAAATAATACTGCGTTTGCTAAACATTTTATTGTTAGAATACAAGAAAATATTTTTTAAAAATCATTTTTAAAACAAATTATGTTGATAAGATTTCATAAGAGATGCTCTTCCTTTGAAAGCTTCAGAGAAATATATGTAGAATCAATAAAGAATTTTAATACTACTATAAATTTATTAAGCATTTGCCTTTCTTATACAGTAAAGCTTGTTAACTGATGTACTGAAATTGTGGCTACTGATTAAATAAGGTCCATATATGCTAATGGTAACAATATAGTAATATATAAAATAAGATTGCAAACTAACATTTGGCAACCATGTTCTCTTATAAATTATCTGTTAAGAAAAAATAAATTAAGACAGCAGAGTCTCTTGCATTAAATACTTTAAACAGCACTCTGTATTTACTAGGCTGTGTCCGCTGTTCTGAACAACAGTCTCCAAGGATTAAGTCTCAGAATCAATGCTCTATTGATTTTACTATCAATGAGCATTATGGCTCACACGACTGGCCATTTTAAGGGAAGATAGCTTCTATTATAACCCACTTTTTAGAATATATACTGTTAAAAGATAAATCACTGCTTTCAATAGTAATTAAGCTCTGTATTTGAAAAATAAAGATATCAATGATTTTTAGGCTTTCAATTGGAAAATGATCCTACCGAAACTCAGAAGCTTCCCATAATTTTTAAATCTTAATTTCCAAATTTAGGATGTGGTTTAATTAAAAGCAAGTTTCTCATTAAAGAATTTCTTTATAGGTTTCTATATTAACTATGAAAGATAGTTAGTTAATCCATGTGCATCAAGACCTACATTCAAAATTTAATTACAAAGCATTCTTCTTTTGGCAACCTATATTAATTGTT